ATACCTCCATCAGCTCAGTTATTGCCTGAAGTTAACAAATGGCTTTCTGAATTTTTGACTCCACCTGTTTTATCTTTACAGAGAGTTGAAATAGCAAAAGCTCTTTGGTACAATGCAAATTTAGTTCCTAAAGAAAACCTTAATATTAATCTATTACAAGAAAAAAGTGAGAATGGTTTTTATGAAGATTTTGATGATTCTTTAGCAGCAAACATCAATGAAGTTATTACAAATTTGTCTACTTTATCTATTAAAGAAGTATAGGAGACTACTCGTTATTATTCATTATATAAAAACTATATTATTATACTCAAAAATAGTGATCATATTTGTACTTGCATGCGACTTGTCAATCAGGGTCTTTTTTGTCACTATTTCGCAAAAGTAATAACAATTTCTCAAATTGCAGCTTTTCATATTCTTATGATTCCACGACGTTGGTATTCAGATAAATATTATTCAAAATCAGATGAATCATTAAGATCACAATCATCAATTACTTATAAAAATAGGAGTGCTATTTTAACTTCTAACTTCACATCAAATTCAACTTTTATGTACTCGAGTTCTGGTATTTCTTTTAACACATCAAAGACACTTAACACTCACTGTGTATATATAATTACAAATGGCCTTTGTAAAAAAGCTATAGCCGTTAGGTTGGATGCTAGTTCTACTGCAATGGAAACACTTAATAAGTTTCTAGAAAATTTTATTCAGCAATTTTCTATAAATTCTAATCAGCACTTGGTCACTAACACTACTTCAAGAGAAATGCAAGATGATAAATCAAGTGATTCAGATGATGATCAAGAAAATGTTATATCATTTGATGTGTCTATGGTTCAAGATCCGGTAGTCAAAAAAAGAAAAGGAGCACCAAAAATCAAACGTATTAAAAGTTCACTTGAAACAAAAAAAGCTCAATCAAATATTAGGAAAGAGAAAGCTACACGTCTTTGTTCTCGCTGTAAGCAGCCTAATCATTATGCTAAGACCTGTACTGTTAACCCTTAATTATATAATAATAATAAGGTTAGTAGTTATATATAAGATCAGTAATTATGTACTGTATGTCAGTAATTATGTGTAAAGTCAGTAATTATATAACTTGTATGAGGTAGTATAGCTAATTAATAATTAATTGCATTAACAATCTAAGATTCATTCGTGTTGTTTTACTACTAATCAATGCATCGTGAGTA